GCTATACGTTATAATTTGACTGAAGGTCCTACTCATTTAGTTACGGGATACAGGAAATGATAGTTAGTAGAAAATCATATCTTAGGATGAACAATTCCTACTGACACAGACATCCGAATTGACATGCCACTGTGGAAAGAAACAATACTTATCAACTTCATTAAACGAATAATCCATTTTACTCAGGAAAGAAACTAATTAGCATAGAAATTCTTGAAAGATTTATTTTCAGAACTTTTTACTAGGCATAAAAATGGATCAATTACCTTGATCCATTTTTACGTGGAAATTGACTTCAAAAACTGATTTGAAACATACCAAAAAAGTAAAAAGGCAGGTAAAACTGATTCCTTGGCACGATAGAAGCAGCATGCAACTGAATTGCATATCCTTTCAAGTGTTGCTAAATCCTTTTTGGTAATTCCAACAACCTCTGCATTATTTGAAAGAGCATTTTCGGCCATTTCATCAATAAATATCAACTTTACAATAAAAACCAGAAAAAGCAGAAAAGTATCAAAAATTAAAAAAAATAAAAATTTTAAATTTAAATTTAAGTCTAAAAAAACTGACAAATAGGTAAACATGCAAGGAGTGCTGCTTCATTGATGGTTCGGTTTGGGCAGGTCTATCATATGATAAAAACAAACTTAAAGGTTTATTAACTATTTCGAGCTTATTCTCTTTTGAACTATGCACTTCATCTTGGTGTACCTAAATAACAAAATAAAAATAATAATAATAATTAAAAAAAAAACTATTTCGATCTTATTCTGTTTTTGGGATTTTTAATAATTTTTCTTTTTTCACAATTTCGGTTTTATTATCTATTTCGATATAATTTCGGAAAGTTCCTTTTTTAAATTAATTCAGTTTTGCTGTTTTTAATACTGTAACTATTACTATCTAAAAAAAGCACAATAAAGGAAAAGCATGTGGTATCGATTCGGTATCATGTGGTATTGAATCGATACCACGTGATACCGATAATAAAAAGAATCGTATCGTATCGAATGGTCAAATAGGCTTAAAGAGAGAAATAAAAAATGTAAGTTTTCAAATTTATTATCGAGTAAGATTGTTTTTTAAAGTTTAAATTTAGTTTCACCGAAATTGTGAAAAAGAAAAATTATTGAAAATCCCAAAAACAGAATAAGATCGAAATAGTTTTTTTTCAATTTTTATTTTTATTTTGTTATTTAGGTGCCCCAAAATGACCTAATGGTCTTGTCACAGAGCACTGCAGAAGTGCATAATTCAAAAGTAAATAAGCTCGAAATAGTTAATAAACCTTTAAGTTTGTTTTTATTATATGATAGACCTGCCCAAACCGAACCAAATCGCACGATCACATTGTGCGGTATCGGCACTGATAGTCAATATCACCAATTGACCATCAGTACCAATACCGGACGATACGAGATCTTTCTCGGTATCGTGTGGTATTGAACCAATACTGATGGTATCGACATTAGTACATAAGCAATCAGAGGCAATTTTACGGAAGGAGGGGGTTGGTGTGCTCCACCCCCGACACTAAAAAGGTGATTTTCAAGTTATAGTCGGATTTTTTACGAATTTAGTCGGGTATTTGACACAATTCAGTCGGTTAAATTTGAGTTTTGAGAACCTTTTTTTTTTTTAAGTTTTAAAGCAACAGTCAGAGTTGGCACTTTTTAAGGATTTACCCCCTCCCCCCCTCCTTTGATTTTATTTGTAGAATCGTTTTTGTAAGCGATACCACACGATACGAAACTGTCCTTCCCGATATCAACTTACACGATGCCAGTTATCAAGTGCTTAATTTTATGTAAAGAAAAACTTAAAAATTTGGTCAAATTTTAAACAAATTTATTTATAAATTAATTGTCACCTCATAAGATTTTGTAAAATTATTTATTTTGATGATTTTTCCCACTTAAAATGTACCTAACTTACCTACCTAACTTTCACTATAGAGTACTGGCTTTATGATAACGAAATTAAAATAATGACAATATAAAAACAGATAAAGCAATATTAAAACATAAAACTTAGTAAAGTATTTAAATAAAATGGAATTTAAACACAAATAAGTATTAAATTAGTTTCGTTAACACAAATAAATATGCACTTTACTTTGGTGTAATTACCACATCAGTTTTATTACAACAATCTTCCATTATAAACAATAAAAAAAACTATATTAGTCTATTTCTATTTATAATTATTATAATTACATTATATGTATACTAGTTAATTTCGAATTAAACTTTGTCTCTACTTGACTATGTTTATTTAAAGTTTTTTTTATCAAAAGGTGTGCTTTGAAACGTACAATAATTTACCATGCTTCATTAGTTTATTCAAATAGACAGTGTTCAAATGCGTCCAAAAAGTTGCTCTTGAGAAAAGTAAACTTTTTACGCTTATTAACTTTCAAAAAACAAAAAAAATTTCCCTAAAATTCAAATAAATAAAATACGCAATCCAGATAAAGCTAGTACAAAACGCCATTAACCATTGAATATAGAAATCACCATTAATGTGCTTAAGATACGTATTTAGGATTTTAAATGATTGTCATGAATTTGAGCTTCTAAAAAAATTGTTTTTTAAACCTTGCATAAATTTATAAACAAAACCATCAAGCTTCACACGGTTGATTGTGCTCTAAAACTAACAATTAAAAACATTGTTATTGCGAAAGAAATTTTTTTTTTAATCATAAAAGTTTTTAGAAAATAGCTATATAATAATATACATTAACAAAACCTCAGTTGCCGTATTTGTAACAAAAGAAGAAGATGAAGATGTAAAGAAAATACACTCTGCCTTTTTTTGAAAACATAGTGATTCAATAAATTAAGTACGAGAAGAAAATAGTTAAAGGGGATATAATAAAAATGTTTAAAATCTTTAAAATAATATACAAAGTTTAACTTATCATTATTGATACCCAACATTATTAAGTGGTGGATATCCAGGGGCGGATCCAGCATTTTTTGGTCTTTGAGATTGCTAACTTTGAGACATGGAGCAAACTTCAAACTTTTATATGTTTATACTTATGTTAAATAAGGATGCTTTGCAAAAAATTGCGATGATTGGAGGTTGGGAACAAAAAAGCCCCAGAATTTGTGCCCCCTGCCCCAAACGTGAGAGCAACAAGTTGATGAAACAATTTTTATACTATTTTTAACTAGACTTATATTCATCGATAAATTTTAAGTTTCATAGTAAAATAGTTTAGCGTTCAAAAATTATGACCATATAAAATTAATAACCCCCTCAAATTGAGGGGGATTTAAACTTTATATGGTCATAATTTTTGAACGCTAAATTATTTTACTATGAAATTTAAAATTTATCGATGAATATAAGTCTAGTTAAAAATAGTATAAAAATTGTTTCATCAACTTGTTGCTGTTACGTTTGGGGCAGGGGGCACAAATTCTGGGGCTTTTTTGTTCCCAACCTCCAATCATCGCAATTTTTTGCAAAGCATCCTTATTTAACATAAGTATAAACATATAAAAGTTTGAAGTTTGCTCCATGTCTGGAAGTTAGCAATCTCAAAGACCAAAAAATTGTGGATATTATCCACCATTATTTAAAACTCTTATTTTCAAAGGTCATACATTCTTATATATTAGGTAGGTTGTAGGGAATAGAACTAGACACCAACACAAAATATTTGAACACACATAAAAACATTTAGGCTACAGTGCACAAGTGAAAAGTACACAAATTTAAAAAAACTTCTGTTAACTTGAAAAGGGTGTCAAAATGCAATTTTTGACACCCTTTTCAAGTTAATATGTATTAATATATATATATATATATATATATATATATATATATATATATATATATATATAGATATATATATATATATATATATATATATTTATATATATATATATATATATATATATATATATATATATATATATATATATATATATATATATATATGTATATATATACATATATGTTTTATATATATATATATATATATACATATATATATACATATATATATATATATATATATATATATATATATATATATATATATATATATATATATATATATATGTATATATATATATATATATATATGTATATATATATATATATATATATATATATATATATATATATACATATATATATATATATATATATATATATACATATATATATATATATATATATATATATATATATATATATATACATATATATATATATATATATATATATATATATATATATATATATATTATATATATATGTATATATATATATATGTATATATATATATATATATATATATATATATATATGTATATATATATATATATATGCATGTATATATATATATATATATATATATATATATATATATATATGTATATATATATATATATATATATATATATATACATATATATATATATATATATATATATAATATATATATATATATATTATATATATATATATATATATATATATATATATGTATATAATATATATATATATGTATATATATATATATATATATGCATATATATATATATATATATATATGTATATATATATATATATATATATATATATATATATATATATATATATATATATATATATATATGTATATATATATATATATATATATATATATATATATATATATGTATATATATATATATATATATATATATATATATATATATATATATATATATATATATATTATATATATATATATATATATATATATATATATATATATATATATATATATATATATATATATTTATATATATATATATATATAAATACATCTCCTCTTTGGACTTTCACGTTTTTTCGTGAAAGTCCAAAGAGGAGTATCTTTTGTTCCAAATATTCCCCTTCTATGTGAGACAAGATGGACAAGCAAGTATAAAAGTATTTGAATTTTTTGTAGTAAATTTGAAGATATCTTTTTCCAACTGGAAGAATTTTCAATGCATGCAAATGGATGTATTCGACAAGTTGCACATCAGCTTTATTGTTCATCAAATTCCAGCACATTTATATTTTGTCTCCATATCATTTCGCAGTACTCTGCCATACTTGAACCAGTTACTCAGGCTCTTCAAGCTGTTCAAGTTGATCTTCCAGAAGTCCAACTGCAAGTTCAAAAATTACTTAATGTTGTAAAACTTCACAGAGGTGAGTCCAATATTTATTTCAAGGATAATTTTGAGAAAACAGCGCAATTGGCACAGAAAATGAATATTGAACTGATAATTCCAAGACAGTGCGGAAAACAAAAGTATCGAAGTAATCCGGGAACCATGAGTGTTGAAGAGTTTTTTAGACAAACGATTTACATTGCATACTTAGATTCTCTATTCGGCTCTTTGGAGAGTCGATTTCGTGAAGCCAATAGTGCACAATTTAACTTAGTATTTCTTCATCCATCTAAGTTGTGCCATCTGAGTCGTCAATACTTTAAAGAAAAAATTTCTACGATTAATAAAGTATACAACATTGATAATTTTGAAACTGAAGCCTTGAGTTGGTTTGATTTTTGGAATGCGCAAGACTACAAAAGTAGCCTAGATTTTATCGATTTACTACCTATCACACAATTTTATCCCAGTGTCAGGTATGCTTTATTAGTTTTGTTAACTTTACCAGCAACAACATGTACGGTGGAGCGATCGTTTAGCACATTGCGTCGTGTCAAAACATGGCTTAGGTCAACTATGTCAAATGACCGTCTCTCTGGTTTGTGCATGTTAAGCACACACAAAGACAAAATAAACTGCAACAAAAAAGACTTTATAGATAAAATTATAGATATGTTTGGTATTGATAACAGACGACTCCAGTTCCTGTTTAAAGAATAAATTTGACTTTAAATAAATGTTGTAAGCTTTTTTTATGTACTACCTTCACGTCTGAATACCATAACAAAACGATCAGTAAACTACAGCTAAATTATAAATTTTTTGCCTTTATTTGATATACTTATCAATGCTCTATTACTTATAATAAAAATCTTTAATTGCTACTATATTTTGTATATTTATATAGTATCAATTAAAAAAACTTTATATGGAGGCTCTGTGCAAAGATTATAATGACGTATTATCATCTTCATCTTTTTTGGAGCCAATGTCTGTTTAATTCCTTACATTTTATAAAGATCAATAAAAAAAATGTGAATATTTTATACACAAAAACGATGCTGACAAATTTAAATTGTCTTCTTTTTTCCACGGACATATAATTTTTTTCTTCTCTTTATTTTATATCTTACATATCTTGATTTTTACATAATAGATAACAGGAAAAAAAGCAATAACAAAAAATGTTTTGCACCCCCCCCCCCTCCTTAGAAAATTTTCTGCGGGCGCCTATGTATATATATATATATATATATAGATATATATATATATATATAATATATATATATATATATATATATATATATATATATATATATATATATATATATATAAATACATATATATATATATATATATATATATATATATATATATTATATATATATATATATATATATATATATATATATATATATATATATATATATAAACTTGAAAAGTTAAAAAAAAATATGCATATATATATTATATATATATATATATATTATATATATATATATATAGATATATATATATATATATATATTATATATATATATATATATATATATATATATATATATCAGGCGCGGATCCAGCATTTTTTGATGTTTGAGATAACTAACTTCCAGACATGGAACAAACTCTAAAAATTTATATGTTTATACTTATGTCAAATAAAGATGATTTGCAAAAAATTGCGACGATTGGAGTCTGGGAACAAAAAAGCCCCAAAATTTTGGCCACACAAACCCCAAACAAGAGAGCAACAAGTTGATAAAATATTTTTTGTACAATTTTTAAGTAAATTTATATTAATCGATAAATTCTAAATTTCATACAATAATCTCTTAGTGTTCAAAAAACATGACCTTACAAAATTTGTAACCCCCTCAAATTGAGGGGGGTTAAAGCTTTGTGCAATTATAATTTTTGAACACTAATTTAGAAATTAACTGTTTAGTAACTTAATTGTTTTTATTCATTTTTACAACAAAATCAAAAAGGTATAAAAAACGCCTTTTGAAAAATAAACACTCAATTTAAGTGATATTATATATGCTTTTCAATCACATTATTTTTAAATAGTACAAAAAAATAAAAGATTGAAAAAAAAAGTATGGGCAAGACATATCAGACTCAGCAAACTTGAAATTAGTTTAAATATAAAAATCTCTATTTCCTAAGAAAAGCATCTTTTTCAAGTCGTCTTTGGCTAAACAGTAGCAAAGCCCTGTTTTTGTAGTCGGTACTTCAACTTTGAAAATGATGTGGACATCTGGAATCCAGCATCTGGAATCATCTGAAAAAATACAATAAGGTAATGATTGAGCAAAAATGTTTTTCTATTTTATAGTTAACTTAAAAAATCTTATTTTAGTAAAAAAATTTATCTTAAAAAAATAAAGATTTTATTTTGTATACATAAGTTAAAAAAAGGTAGTCTATCAAAGCTACTTAAACTGAAATTCAAAAGTTTAATTTTTTGTTTATATTATTTTTTTTATTGCAGTCTATATAGTAGCGAATATAAAAATTAAACTTGATGCAAAAAAACTCCTTAAAAGTTGTTACTTGTAACTTGCAATAAAGTTTCAGGATATTGCAAGTTGTTGAAAAAGCATTTTAAATAATTTATTTATACTTGATCAATCAGATTAAAAAAAGACAACTTGTTACTCTCTTATTCAAATATTATTTATCCAACTTAAAACATACAGGTAAAAATGATATATGTAGTATATTTGTACTGTGGAATCATATTGCTTATATTTTCTATGAAGATATAAAATGTTGCTTTTGTATGTTGCCCATATAATAAAATTGACAATATATAATATATAATATATAATAATAATAATAATAATAATAAAATTGACAATATATGTATTAAAAAGTGTTAAACTTGCTGCCTAAGTACTAAATTTTTTTACTACTAAAACGGCTATGAAAATAACCGTTTTAGTAGGTTTAAGTCATCTTACTTCCTTTTTAATGTTTATGTTTCAAAATAGAGGGTGTTTTTTAATTGATGTTCTTTATATATCAATTTAATTTGACTATTTAAATCTTGAAAGCTTTCACCTTATCTTTTGAGAGTCACATCGCGATATACATCGTTTCTTGAAAAATAAACACATAAATATACTTTCTTAACTTTTGTTAGGATAAATTAAATTTGGTAAAATAACATTTGAACTTAAATTAAGTTCTGCTTCCAACAATTAGCAACTCAATAGCAGTTATAACAGCATCGAATTCATTCAAAATATCAAAGTTTGCGCCATAAAATGTCATTTAAAAAATATTTGATGCCCTCTCAGTCTGGTCACCCCATAATGTTCAAGTTAAAATCTACGAACTTGTATATAAAGTGTTAAACGATTATGCACATTTAACAGCAAGCAAATACGATAAACACTAATTGTAGAATAAGAGGTACCAAAAATATTCCAACTTAGTCATAATAGAATATATTGTTTAGTAATGATGTGGAATACATGCTTAAACTTTATAATATCATTGAAAAAAAAGGTACCAGTCAGGTAAACAAAGACAAGATGCTTCTTCAAAACTTTAAAGAAAAGTACAATTTTGGCAAAATCCATAGACAACGGCCCGCATTTCCAGGCTAATTAAATACTATGACTATGCGTTAACGTTTTATTCACGTAAAATAGTCACCTGGACAAGGTCAACTAAAATACACGTGATTGAGACGAGAATAAAAAGCTGCGTGCCTACTGGGTTAAAACTAAAAAATTTTTCTATCAATCAGATTTTTTTTAGAGTTATAGTTGTCAATGTTTTTTTTTATTGTCATTAGTTAGTGCGTTTTGTAGCTCTTAAAATAAGCTATACTTTGTTGTTTTGAGAAATACAAATCTATAACTTTCAGATTAAACAGGATTCATATTCCTTAGGTACCAAATTGTAGCTTTATAAAATTACTACAAGCACCTTATAAAGGTAATAGTTAACGGACACATCTCCGGCAATCCCCCCCCCCTCATTTTTCAGTCAAAACCTAACAAACTTTAAGTTGCTGTAGTTCTTAAAGGGGTAAAAAATTTTTGAAAAAAATTCACAAGCTTTCCTAACTTACATCTTTACACATTTGTGCCAAATTTTAACGAATTTGGCGATGTGCAACCTCTTGTTTTTTGAAAACTTTTTACTCATATATAACCGATTTCATTAATTTCATTCTCGTTTCATTTAAATCAAAAATGTCGTTTTTATTTGTTTCTTATAACTTTATTTATTGAAAGTTTTAACCTGCATAACATTTATATTTAAAATGAGACTGTTCTCAGAGGAAGATAACATTTTTGATGAAAAAAAAAGCTTGTTGCGTAAAACTGAAACTATTTTTGCATAACAATATTCGTAAACATCTACATAGTTGATTACATAGTCGCAAATAAAATTACATTGTGCTTGTTAAGATATTTGTAATTTTAACCTAGGTTTACAAAAAGTTCTTCATTGTCTGTAGGGTAAGGATTTTTTGATTTAGTTTACACAGTCTATAGCACGTGTCTAAAAAAGGTAAAAAATAAATTCCGGCCGGAACGGAATTCTGGAACATTCCTAGTTGATATAGAAGTATTAGCAGATTTTCGCTTTCTAGAACTTATTTATTTTTCAGCCATAAGCCGCTGTTTTGCTGAAGTATTTCTAAGTATTTGAAGTCCATTACTTTATAAATAACTAAAAAAGTCCGTAAAATCAATAAAAATTGCAGTTATTTTATATCTCGACTTACCACTTGCCATTTTAAAAACAAAAATGAGAATTTCATAAAATATTTTCAAAAAAAAAGTGTTAATAATAACCTTTGAAATTTTTAATTTACTACTAAATATTTTTTATAGCTGACGTGTTATAATTATAGTTTAATAATGAAAAAAATAAATTTGAAATAATATATAAAACCTTTTCTTTTTTTTTTAAACATCTTCACTTTCAACAAGGCTGCAAGCAAACACTATTCGAGTTGGAAGTTATTTGAAGGGAAAAGATTAAGTATATATTAAGGCGAGTTTCCACTCATCCGTTTTTTTTACGGGAACGGGAAAGGGACGGAAAAAATAATCACTTGGGCATGCGTAGTATAAGTTTAAATATGTCCGAAGGAAAACTACGCATGCTCACGTGATTACTTTTCCCTTTCCTATCCCGTTCCCGTGAAAAAACGGATGAGTGGAAACTCACCTTAAAGCAAGATAATTATCTCGTTTTGTAAGAAAAAAGGTTTTTATATATTATTTCAATTTTTTTTTACATTATTCACAATAATTGCATTATTAACTATAATTGTGACACGTCAGCTATAAAAAACTTATGATAATAAATTAAAAATTTCAAAGGTTATTGATAACATTTTTTTGTTTTGATATGAAAGTTTTTAATGGCTTGTGGTATGTCAAATTTTAAAATAACTGCGGTTTTTATTAGTTTTAGTGGTTGCTTATAGCAAAAAAAGTCAAAAAAAAAATTAAGATATGATCTATTATAAACAGCGTTCTATTAATCTATTATAATAAATCGTTATAACGATTAACAGACGACATATTAAATTTCGACAGTCAACTTTTTATTAATTTAATCGAATTCGATCAGTGCCGGATCAAGGGTGAAGGTGGGGGGAGGCTAGGGGGGGGGCTATAGCCTTAATCCGCCACTGAATTCGATAAAACACTATTTATAATAAATCAAAATAATTTAGATCTTACCTTGATTTTTTATTAAAACCTTCTTTTCTAACAAAGCTGCAAGCAACCAATAGTTTTTTTTTTCTTTTTTTCTCAAAAAGTTTTTGCAGCGAACGCACGTGTTTTTGACTGCCCTTCAAAAATATTAATTAAAAAATGGAAATAACGATAAAAAAAATGGAAAAAATTATTACAAACAAGTTTGTAAAACAAAAAAAACAAAAAACAGAAAGGTTATTAAAAGACGAAGAAAAGAACTTCACACAAATAGTGAATGGAAATATAAAAATTATTACTGATATCAGTCTATCATGATAGACTCGACAAAATAGAAAATGAATTAAATATAAACAGAGTAAATATGTAAAATATTGAAAAAAATTTAAACGATGTGAAAGAGTCTCAACTTTCAAGAAGAAAAAATAATGGAAGAATTAACAAAAATAAGGAAGAAATATGATCTTAATATTAAAAATATAAAGAAATATAAAAATATAAAAATTAAGATATGATCTATTATAAACAGCGTTCTATTAATCTATTATAATAAATCGTTATAACGATTAACAGACGACATATTAAATTTCGACAGTCAACTTTTTATTAATTTAATCGAATTCGATCAGTGCCGGATCAAGGGTGAAGGTGGGGGGAGGCTAGGGGGGGGGCTATAGCCTTAATCCGCCACCGAATTCGATAAAACACTATTTATAATAAATCAAAATAATTTAGATCTTACCTTGATTTTTTATTAAAACCTTCTTTTCTAACAAAGCTGCAAGCAACCACTAGTTTTTTTTTTCTTTTTTTCTCAAAAAGTTTTTGCAGCGAACGCACGTGTTTTTGACTGCCCTTCAAAAATATTAATTAAAAAATGGAAATAACGATAAAAAAAATGGAAAAAATTATTACAAACAAGTTTGTAAAACAAAAAAAACAAAAAACAGAAAGGTTATTAAAAGACGAAGAAAAGAACTTCACACAAATAGTGAATGGAAATATAAAAATTATTACTGATATCAGTCTATCATGATAGACTCGACAAAATAGAAAATGAATTAAATATGAACAGAGTAAATATGTAAAATATTGAAAAAAATTTAAACGATGTGAAAGAGTCTCAACTTTCAAGAAGAAAAAATAATGGAAGAATTAACAAAAATAAGGAAGAAATATGATCTTAATATTAAAAATATAAAGAAATAAAAACAACTGACTTAGAAAACCGTTCTCTTCGTAACCACATTAGACTCGATGGTCTGAAAGATTCACCAGGAGAAAGTTAGAGTGATTGTGAGAAATTTGTGAACAAAAAATATATACAAACAACCTTAAAATTTCAACTGAAATTATTGTGGAAAGAGCGAATCGAATTGGGTTGTATAAAGAAGATAAAACACGAAGAACTATCGTAGTGAAACTATTAAACTACCAAGATAAAATAAAAATTTTAAGTTCACTTAAAAACCTAAAAGGAAGTGTTTTTGATCCATACAATAAAATCTAGTAACTGCGGATGGTTAAAACCATCTATAGTATTAAGACTATTATTGAGCCATTTTTTTATACTTGCTCTTGATATTTTAAAATGTTTGAAGAGAAGGTAGCTTTGCTCGGAAATCAACTCAGGTAACTCTGTAGTCTCTCTTATTTGTACATTTGATGGTTACAACGCTGAAATTCATTTGGCTCTTCAACTCAATCAGAGCTAACAGTATTCTTAGCTTTGTTTCAGAAAGAACTTCTTTATCCCCAAAGGACAAAACACAGAGTTGTGGAGTTAAGTACCACGTATAGCGTCCCATGCTGAGAAGCAAAGCATTTCCAATATTCTTACTGACTTTTCTCAATGCATAGGCTGTC